AATATTCTTTGTAATTCTAATGAATAAGAGGAATTCATGTATGAGTTTTAATAAGGAAACAACCTCTCTGCTTGTAGGATTAAGGTTGTGTATATCTAATCTTCTTCAGATCTCATAATGACAAGAGTCTCATGCACTAAGTACGCTCTTTACTCTTCTTCTTTTTTTTTTCATGTATGAGTTCTAACCTAGTAACATCCCGGTTGTCGTTTTCGCAATGGGTTGGCAAATTCGTGCAAGAAAACTATACAATTTACTATCATAAATTGAAGCAATTAGTAGGCTGAATATTCACAAGTAGGGACAGAAACCAGGAATTGATTTTGAAGTTGACATCTCAATTATTTGTAATTAACATTTTCTGAAATTTGTATAGGTGTTTATGCATACTTCTGGTAGCTAATCGGCAGGCCATTCTTTGACCTTTGCAATAACCTCTGGTGTCATTAATCAGAAAATGGTTTCTGTGGTATTGAAAAGAAAACCATCACTTTATAGTTAAGCTTGAAAATCGAGAAATATACTTAATAGCGACATAGTTCACATAAATTAAGGCTAATTGCAGTTCAAATTTATCAAGGAAATTGGGGTTTTTTCAGTGGAGATCACTGCAACGTCATGGCTAGCCGACCACACGATGAACCCTATTAGACAATCACTCATTCACAAACTTAGAGTATTATTTCTACTTTCACCACATGAAGAATTAAAAAAAAAAACTCCAACAAAAAACTACCTCCTTTTGTTGCATATACACGGGTTTGGTGTTTTATACAGTATTATCAAAATTTGAGCTTTCGGGATCATAATCTCAAGCCAACAATAAAAGAGACCACCAAACCGTAGACAATTTGTTTTCATGAATTTACTAGAGGATAAATACATATAAGTTAATTCATAGGTTTGATTATGACTAATGATGTCGTGTCCACCACAGTTTATAAAACTTACACTTACCATTTTATTGTCATTGTTTTGCATATTTTATTGCTTGATACCACAACAATTATCTAGTTTTGCTCAAACTTTGGGTAACAATCTTTGTACATTATAATCCTGAACTTTGACATATACATGATTAACATACGAATAGTAATATCATTGGTGATGTTGATACCTTATCTACCCCACCAGAAAGGTTTGTTTATCATAACAAAACAAGACTAAAAAGGGGTGTAAGTATTAAGATATGTATGTTTTCTTCCACAAGAATTTGCCCTAGATGTGTTTTATGACTTTTTCTGTTTCTTTTTTTTGCTACCAGGTGTCCAGACTTGTGTTAATTGCTCTCTATATGAATATTTTGAATCTCCAATAATCATTTGTTAGCCGATTTGTGAATCCGGAAACTTAGGAGTAGGATTGTGTTTATTATTAGGAAGAAAATATTTTTCCAAACACAGTCATCTGTACTAGATCAAGCTTGAAATCTCCCCTGTAATCACCACCACTCCCCAGATTTTCAAATATTTGCTAAACCATCTAATTTATTTCTGAGTTTTTGACAGAGTCTATTTTCGGTCCTAATAAATAAATTCATTAGTCTCTATAAAAACCTTATTATACCTGCTTTTTCATACTAATCTGGTTTTTAAAATATATTTAGTATTATTGGTCAGCATCAGCTCAAGATGGTTTCGAAAATATTATAGCACTAACAAACAAATTAATCAGGCCCCTGGTAACAAAATTCCATCTCCAGCTCTGTGTACCCACCAAACTTCTCAGCCCTCAGACCAGTTCCTTGTTCAAGATTGTTCATATTTTGTTCCAACTGTAAAGAACTAAACAAGCGTGTAGATTTCAATAAAATCGACGATACTACAGCAGGACTATCAACTGGACAAGTTTCAATCGCTTGGGTCTGAGTATGTTTGCTTAACAAGTATCAGAAAGGGATTGACTTAGCTGGATATATTCATAGACTTGACTAAAGAGAGCAGTTTTCATGTCTCATGGTGTTTGGTATGAGAGAAAGAGAGAGAAGATCTTGCTGTTTCAAGGTGATACTCTAGTGGATAGTGGATATAGCTAGATTGAATATGGTCACGGAAGTTATCATCTCTGTCATACTATTGTTTGTGGGTATAGCTGTTTTGGTTGTAATTCATATCTGTCTGGTTGGGAGGGCTTTCAACGGGAATGACAACAATGGTCATGCTGCTTTTCAAAGGGGTATTACCAGAAACCCAAGCATGTCCAATGATGACATAAAGAAACTGCCATGTTTTGATTACAAGGTGGAAGAGAAAGGGAATAGCCTCTTGGATTGTGCTGTGTGTTTGGAGAATTTTAAGTTGGGGGAGAAGTGCAGGTTGCTGCCAAACTGCAATCACAGCTTCCATGCTGAGTGCATAGACTCTTGGTTGTTGAAGACAGCAGCTTGTCCAATCTGTCGAACGCGTACGAATTCGTCGAAGATTGGGGGGCAAAGTAGCAGTTCAAGCGAAGGGGGGATTGAATTAGCATAGAGATCAGGATTTAACTTCGTACTCAAATTTCGCATTCACATAGATAATATATGCTTTTCACACAGAATATTATTCTTTTTCTATCTCCATAGCTTGCAGCAATCAGCTTCTGACAATCTTGACTAGTTTGTGTGACATGAAAATCTTGAAACTGTCAGGCTGATGCCCTTGTTTGCAGTTGGTTATACATTTCCTATAGCAGGTTAGACGGTTCAGCGCAGTCTTGCCCTTGCATGTGGAGAGTACTTCCGTGACTTGAACTTATAACGCTCAAACTTATTTTTTAGACGAATCGAACTAGAACACTTTTTTAGGCTCATTTAAAAAATGAACTAGATAAACTTGACTCAAACTCAACAGGTTTAATTCGTTTATATATAAATACTCGGGCTCGGTTCAGATTGGCTTGTTTTGAATTGATTCATACGAGCCGAATTTAAACAATTTTTTAAACTCGCTTCAAAAAGTGAGCTCGATAAGCCCAGCTTAAACTTGTTTGGATTCATTCGATTATCAGCTCTAGGTGCGGGGCTCTAAAGAATCATCAATACTCCATCCTGACCTGCGTTTCAGTGGATGTGGCTTACGAAAGATAATTCTGAAGAAATCTTGAAAATTCGAATGAAGTGGACATAACATGTATCGGATCATAACAAGATTGACTGGCTGTTCCACTAAATAGATAAATCTAATTACATAAGACGCAAATCAAAATGATACATGGTTGAAAATAAATGGGTTGAATACAAATTAAACACATATGACGCAAATCGACAAGACACGACCTTATGTGACGTTTCCGGAAGACCACTGGCAAACTTTTGGAAGTAAGCTATAAAAGGTCATAATAGAATCAAAGATTAGCACAATGAGTGGTGGACACAACCACAAAGAAAGGAAGGGCACAGGAAGAATAACATGGTTGCTGCTCCATCTCCTCACTTTCTCATATTCCTTTCATGTCTCAGGCAACAAGGCCACACCATACCTCTCCTCTACCCCTCCCAACTCCTCCACAAAAGTTATATCTACATTACCATCTTCAACACTCAAGCAAACTCCCTGGGGTCGTGCTTCCCTCCACAACATTGATATCTGTTATCAATATCTTCCATCCACAAACATTATCGGAATCCCTCTTGCGCCACAGAACTCATCAAACTGCACTTTGCAGAAGTCCAGTAGACTCTCCAACCTGTTAGCTGCATAATCTTGCTGGATTTTAAGCTGCACCCAATAGCGAGGAGTGCACTTCTTTGCCATGACTTGGCGAAATTGTACGGCAAGTAAAAACACATGTAGGTGTTAGTTCAGATGATAGCGGTCCCCAGTTGCACGCTTTCCTAAGTTGAAGCTAACCAGAAACTGGAACGACCATCTAACACGATTGAATGAAAAGGTGCACTGTTTTGAGTTTGCTGTTGAGTAAGGTACTGTAATGTCAAAAAGCCTCCTAATAGCTTCTAGGAGCTAGCCCTCGGCCATCAAACAAAACGAAGCTTCTGTGAGTAGGAACCAAATTTCAATAACTACCAAGAACCAAAAGACTGGACCTAGGGCTTAATGTGTTAGATCACTGTGACCCGGGAAGTCAACACCACAAACCCTCCCAAAGCCAACATGGGAGCAGTGGAGGCCGAGAGAGAGCCAGTTTCCCAGTTATATTACATGAAATGGTGATATGCTTAAAACAACTGTGAATATATATTTCGAAAGTGGCAAATTCAAAAGGATCAGAGTTCCTGGAGGGGATGGTGAAGCAAGGGACAGAACATATGTAAATATTACAGTAAAAGAGCATCAAAGCTTATCAAATCATTCCATTGCTAGAGACTATTTGTGCCAATGTGCCCATCTCGGCACACCAGTTGATAGCTGAGTTGCGTCTGAATGCAAATATGGAGGTGGAAGAGATTGGTGAGGAAGAGATAACAATAATAATGCCAAGTAACCGACCCATACATAGCATTGTGAGACGGCAAGAAAGTAACCCTTCCGTGAAACCAATCCATGGCATTAGGTGATTCATCCTGGTAAATGCTAATCGACGTGGTTTGTGGAAAAGATATATGCCTTTCTCAGGTTGCCCATGCTAATGTCGGCGACTTTGGAGGACAAGTCCCCTAGCCGTTGCAATTTTCATCATTAGGTGAGGTTGGGATCTCTTGCTTCCTTTCACACTTCATTTTTCTTTGACATATAAACTCGCACAATTGCAAAATAACACGTTCTAATGATAGTTAAATATCCTGAGAATCTCCAATAATAAATCTCAGGTTCTGTTTTCTCATTGAAACTATCATAAAGATCAAAAAAACTCTACTAAAATGAATGACCCAGAGATACGATAAGACCCACTACATTAGATCATCAACTGCATGTTTCTCAAAGGATCCACTAGTTGAGATGAAAGTACATGCATTCTTTTACAAGCGAAAATATCTTATGAGGATAACCATCTTGAGTTCGAATAACAAAGCATTGATACAAGGCATAACAGAGCATCAATGATTAGTATTTGGACTTAGCTCACTTCTTATCAGTGTTGTCTTCCAGTTCCCTCCTCAGCTGCAGAGAGAAGTCATCAGTGACATCATCATCATCCCAATCATCTTCCCATTGCTGAGTTATATCTGTTCCTTCTTCCTTGTCCTCCCACTCTGCCATTTTTTGGGATCATTCCAGAAGAAATATTCAGAACATAAGGCACAAAAAATGATCAAAGCCACACGAGTCTGGTTAACCAGAAAAACTTGAAGCAGTATACAGACAATTGATGTCTATCATGAATCAGAGCAACATTTTAGTTTCATTCTGAAATTTTGATACATGGGAAGAAAAAAGAGGCCCGCAAAGCAAAGCAATCTACTTAGAAGCAACTAAAGAAAACTATGTGCAGAGCAAACTATTTTCTCACTCGAGTTTAAAAAAACTATTTTGCCACTAACAGCAAATTTCAGAATTCCTGACGACATAGTGTATAAAATATAAACAACAATGACACGACGAGTATATGCCATTACAATCAGTCTGGTACCATTGTTAGCACCTTTACTACACATTGTAAATCCATATTAATAGAGCCACACATGACATCCCCTCAGACAATAACTTTGCAATTCCAAAAACTAACCATCCAAAGAAGTAAATCTTATCAAGCATTGCAAATCATATCGTGACAAAAAAGTAATACCAACCTCGGCAACCCCATTTCTGCCTTTATGGTCACCTTTTGCCTATAAGCCTCGTAATAGTTTAGCTTGGTTCTCATACTCATTTGGTGATCTATCTCCAAAAAGACAGGACAGAAATGGTGGAAGGATTTTCAGTTGTGGTGGTCTCCCAAGTCACAACTCATTATGTTTGGTAAGCCCTAACGTTATTATTGATAATAAATAACATAAGGGTTGTAGCACCTCTTTGACATGGTCTTATCTAGCATAACTGTCAAATGACTTTTTCAGCTAATTTATTCTAACATGCATTTTTTGATTCTCGTTGTTATGACATCATCTTCATCAAAGACTAAATGGATATCAGAATAGCTCATTTCAAAGGATTGAACATATACTCCTCTACAATGCATTACAATACACCATAATTTCCAATTTCATCCTTCAATAACAGCATTAGCATGCAAAAATCTTTAATTCCATACACATTACTTAGTTAGACATTCTATAAATTTAACAGGAAGCAACAGCTGTAAACAAATCTATGCCCAGCATGCAAAACCCATTTTAAATTCCTCATTAAGAACACTAACTCCAATTTAAAAGGCAAAAATGCCATCAACCACAAGATTACACCCTTCCATGCCCAGCCATTTAACCGCCCGTGAATTTACTTGCCCTAAATATGGTTACCCAAAGAAAGCAGTTGTGTCACAAAATTTTAGAAGGAACCAAATCATTTAAAACAAAAGTCCCAAATCCAAGACCGGCCAGGGTTAGTCAATCATTATACAACCCAAAAACCAATCTGCGAACATAAATTGCAGAAATAAACCTAATTATCTGCTACTAATTAATCATGTCACCAAAGTTTTTTCCACAAGAAATATGAGATTTTTTTTACCTTGATCGATTTCGAACTCCTCGAACTCGTCATCGTCTTCAAACAGGTCGATCTTTGCTTCTTCGGTCGCTACCTTGGGTTGTTCGGTTGCCATTCTGAATATCTGACAAAACCTACAGTGAGTGAGAACGGAAGGAAATTCAGATAGGGTTAGACCACAAATTGGAAGCTAAACCCTAACTCTGCTCAGTGAAACAGATACACATATACGCAATAGTAGTAAGATAAACACGAAGAGAGAGAGAGAGAGAGAAGCCACTTTACAGTAACACAAAATCTCTAAACGATTTGTTGGCTTGTGGCCGCCGATTCGAGAATGTTCTGGCCTAACACAAGAATTTATAATCGCAAAGCAATCCGAAACCAGTAGGGAGGCTGGAGGCAGTTTCTACTTTCCACACTACGTCGTTTTTGTTTTTCTGTCATCATACTACGTCGTTTAAGTGAAAGCACATCTTTCTCTTTACCCTCTCCTCTTATCACAAGAGGGCAGAGGCAGGAGTTTATCATGGTGAAAACTAATTTAAACAATGACACTAAAAAGATTGATTAGTAACACTTTTATTCAACACGTTTACAAGGTTTTCGAATAGTTTTTTACATTTTGAAAATATTGTATAGTAATCTCATTATTAATATAATTAATGATATTTTTCTAATTCATCTAAATTGACAATGCTAAGAGAGGGCAAGAGACAGAACAAAATACAACGGGTGAGAGAACACATAGCTTCAAAATGGTTTTTCAATAACTTCTTGAGGTTTGTTAAAAAAATAATAATAATAATTTCTCAATGGGATTCAACAAGCCAAATACAACAATTTACAAAATTATGAGTAGAAATTTAATTCAAATGTGTGAGAGATGATTAAGTGGATCAAGATGCATGACATATATATATACTAATTATTGTCTTTGTCTGAAGGCACAGAGTAATAAAAAAATAGTAAATAATAAACATATTTGTATTTATATCCAAAATCAAATCATAGATATAAAGAAGAAATAAAAAAATTTAAGCATTGATTTATAGTAGGGATGGACAATAATGATGGTGGTAGGAGATGGTGATGGTTGTAATGGGTGGCAATGACCGTGGTGACGGCGAGGGAGGCGACGATGGTGGCAATGTTAGCAGTGGTGGGGGAGATGATGGGGGCAGTAGTGATGGGGGTGGTGGTGGCGATAATGGTGGTGGTGGTGGCAGCAGTGGCGACGGCGGTGGTAGCGGTGGCAATGGTGGAGACGACGGTGATGGTGGTGGTGGAGGCGACGACGACGGTGGTGGGGGGTGGAGGCTATGGTGGTGGCGGCGGTGGTAGCGATGGGGGTGGTGGCTGCTGTGGTGGCAGTTGTAGTGGTGATGGTGACGATGGCGGTGATGGAGGTGGTGGTGACGGCGACAGCGGTGGGGTGGCAGTGGCAATGTCAGTGGCGGTGGCAGTGGGGACGGGTGGTGGTGGTGGTGATGACAGCGGCGACAACAATGATGGTGGGGTGGTGGCGATGGTGGTGATAGCAGTAGTGGCGGTGGTGGTGGTAGAGGTAATGGTGAGACCATTTCGAACACTATTTTTTTTAAAGTACTTAAGAGAAATAATTTGTACAAGTATTTTTAAAAAGTCACTTCAAACTCCAAACACACCCTTAGAGGCATATTTTTTCTATTAAATTTATGATGTTGATTGCTCTTACACAAAATTTAAGTAGATCTTGACAAAAAATGTGTAATAAGAGTAGATTTTGACCAAAATTTGAATAACTCATGATCAAAATTGTGTAATTTAAGTAGATATTTAACCAAAACTTGAGTAGAGATTTGGTCAAGAGTTATTCAAATTATTTTTTTGTCTATATTTAAGTACTAGTCATTGTCCGTACCTGAAGACACTGTGTTACTTATAAAATTTTAACACACAAAGATAAGATATTTGAATAATTTTAACACATAACGATTAGATTTGTTTTAAACATTTTTTGTTGGTACAATTGGTATCTTATTTTTTTTGTATTAATCACTTATTTTTTTTAATTGCTGATTAACTTGAGCTTTGAATTTTTTATTTTTTATTTTCTGAGAACTATAGGTTTTCATATAGTAGTGATTTATTTTTGGTATAAATAACAACTTGATGATTTTATTTATGGATTATAAAAACAAATTAAACTTCATTGATTGATAAGAAGTAAGAAGTAAATATCAACCATCGGTACTAAGATGCGTGATAAGAAGATCTACTTACAGTGTACTCTAGGTATGAATCAATTTATAATAAGAAGGATGAAAAATTATATAGTAAGTATATAATAGTTTTTAATGAAATATTATATCAAAGGTTTTGAAAAAATCGATATACTAAATAATTTACATGTCCAAAAATGATGATATTGTCTATTTGGGTACTGATTTTTGTGTTATAATGACGGTGTGTATGCGGTTACTGAAGTCAAATGTTAAACCGTCAAACTTTGAAAAAGAAGTATTAAACTTAGAGATATTATGTATTTTATGTGTGTTTAATAGAAATATTTTTAATTTTATGCAAAATTTTATCGTAAAATTAAAAATTAAACAAAACTAACCTAAATCAATGTACAAATAATACACTTTTAACATATAACATTCAACAACAATCAGTTAATAACAATACATCCACAACTAAACCACACAAACATTAAAAATTAAAAACAATAAACTATTGTCAAAACATACACCACTAAACCAAACCAAAAAAATATCAACGATAAACAATAATGGGTACCAGCGAGAGTATTTTTGGAGGTTAGTAATTTGGATGGAAGAGAGTAGATGGCCAGAGTGGGTAAGTCTAGTAGGTTTCTAGATTATGTTATACGTCGCTGAAGAAGGTCTATTCATTGTTAAAATCTGCACAGAAAGATGAGAAACTGAGGAGGATGACAATGATTTCTGAGAAATTAAGAGAGGTGAGACGCTTAATGAGGGAAAGAGAAAAAGTTTTGGCTTTGTATTAGACAAAATGAGTAGTACATGGGTGTAGTTAAATTGAGTGAGATTCAAGGGCAGAGCCACCCTTAGACTAGGGTGGGCACGTGCCCCTCTCAATTTTTTTTTTTTGACATTAGATATATATTTTTTAAAATAAAATTTAGATATGTTTAATTGTATCCACCCTTAATTTTTTTTTACAATAAATATATATTTTTTTAAATAAAATTTAGACATATTTAATTGTGTCAACTTTATTATTGTATTATTGTGATATCAATTAAGATAGACGACTACTTAAATAATAATTAATTTTTAAATAATATTATTGAAACTAATACATTATGATATTAAATCTAATAGTGAGTCCTTATATTTAATAACGTTTACTATCCATCCAATGGTCACAAACCATTGGGTTCCTATCAATTAAATTTTGAATTTTCTTTTGTCAAGATATAAAATTAAATTTTGAATTAGATGCAATTATTATTATTCTTAAATTTTTAGACACAGACATGTTCAAATAATTTTTAGACATATCGCGTTCATTTATCTAAATTATAGGATTATTTTATTATTGTATAGAAATGAGCGTCATAATTTAATAAATTATAAGGTAATAAATAAAAGACTGTTATTACCATTTTGTATATAGAAAAAAAGTATTTATTGATATCATTGATTTATAATTCTTTTAAATGATAAACAATAATCATATTTAATTGTTAAATGATCAATTGAAAAAAAAAAAAAAATGCTATTTAGATCTAATTTGATGACATAATTAAATGCACTTCTTTGATTGAAAGTAGACTTCATCTAATATTGAAATTTACAACTAAAATAGAAGTTATATTGAATTAAATCATTGGTAACATTGATAAAAAAAATAATTAAAATTTATTAATGTACCCACCCTAAAGTATTTTTTTAGCTCCGCTCCTGGTGAGATTTTATTTTTGTGTGGAATGTGTTGTGAGCCATTGAATTAAGTTTGATGGATTGACATGAAATTAGATCATTTAATTTAAAATGAATTAAATCTAAGTTGTTTTTGTGCTTTTTCAAATTTAAAATAGAGACGTATGAGAGATAGGGGTGTAGAGTCTTACGATAAGAGTCTTTTTTATGGGTGGGAAAAAAAATTCAGGACTAACTGTAGATTGTTAGATCAAAATTCTTGAAATGATCTGAACCGTTTCTTATGTTGGAATTACGTTGTCCGTTGGATGTGTTTATATTTTGTCTCAAAATTATTTGAACCTCTCTTTGTCTTTTAAATTCAAATTTCGTTTTACTTTATTATATAGACTAGTCATTGCCCGTGTCTGAAGGCACGATGTTACTTATAAAATTTTAATACACAAAGATAGGATATTTGAATATTTCAACACATAGCGATTAGATTGGTTTTAAACAATTTTTTTTGGTGCAATTGATATCTTATTTTTTTTGTATTTGTCACTTATTTTTTTTTAATTACTGATTAACTTGAGTTTTGAATTTTTTTTTAAATTTTTTGAGAACTATAGGTTTTCATACAGTAGTAATTTATTTTTTGCATGAATAATAACTTGATGATTTTATTTATGGATTATAAAAATAATTTAAACTTCATTGATCGATAAGAAATAAGAAATAAACATCAACCATCAGTACTAAGATGTGTGATAAAAAAATCTACTTATAGTGTACTCTAGATACGAATCATTTTGTAATAAAAAGGATAAAAAATTATATAGTAAGTATATAATGGTTTTTAATGAAATATTAAACCAAAAGTTTTAAAAAAATCGATATACTAAATAACTTACATGTCCAAAAATTGTAACATTGTCTATTTGGGTACTGATTTTTGTGTTGTAGTGATGATGTGTATGTTGCTATTGGAATCAAATGTTAAATTGTCAAACTTTAAAAAAGAAGCATTAAACTTAGAGATATTATGTATTTTATGTGTGTTTAATAAAAATATTTTTAATTTATGCAAAATTTTATCGTAAAATTAGAAATTAAACAAAATCAATCTAAACTAAGGTATAAACAATACACTTTTAACATATAACATTTAAATCATTTAATTTAAAATAAATTCAATCTGATTTGTTATTGTACTTTTCAAATTTAAGATAGAGACATATAAGAGATAAGAGTGTAAAGTTTTATGATAAGAGGTTTCTTCATGGGCGGAAAAAGAAATTCAGGACTAACTGTAGACGGTTAGATCAAAATTTTTGAGATGACCTGAACCGTCTTTTATGTTAGGATTACGTTGTCTATTGGATGTGTTTATATTTTGTCTCAAAACAATATTAATCTCTCTTTGTCTTTTGGATTCAAACTTTATTCTATTTTATTTTATAAATTACATGACAAGTTTATGATTAAAATTAGTTAATAATCTGGACGTTGTCTGTTTGAGAGACCATATAGAAACATATTCAATACTTTGGAGACAAAAATGATGTACTTAAAATATTAGAGACTAAAATAAAACAAACTTCATACTTTGGAGACTTTCTAGTACAATTAACCTTTAATATAATAAGGATTAAACTGATAAAGTGAACGTACTTTAAAGACTAAAAATACAATTAACCCAAATTTATTTGACAAAAAAAAATGCCCCCAAAATGCACCGAGTGGCTACCCCTCGCCCACTCCCCTCATTCAATCCTCGAACTTTGGAATATGTCTATCAATGCCATCAATTCTGATCTAAATCCGGACTGAATTTGAATTCATTAAATTCAATGTTAATTAGATTCTTTGTATAATATTCCATGAATTATTTAAAGACTAGGGATAACTCAAGTTTAAAAGTACCATGTAATATAAATAATGTTAAAAGAGATGTTGGTAATTGTTGAATGAGTTTATTTGAGACCGTCGAATAAACTTATTGCAACATTCTCTATTTTATATTATAAATATCAATATTCAATTTGACAGTGACCTAAACAAATTATATATATAGATACATAAATACTCAATGAAATTAAGTAATTATTTGATAGATTTTATTTATTAAAATAAAGCTTTATATGAGTAATGCGTGTTAGATTTCTAATTTTTTAACGGATTTTAATATGGTCTCAACAAATAAAATCTATCAAATTGTTAAATTAAATTTTGTTTGGAATTTTCAATTTGGTTTTTGAGACTCGAGTCGACGAAAATCTAATCTAAATTCAATTCTTTAATAGATCTACTTTGCAAGGATTAATTGTATTATCTTTCTTAAATATATAGTTTAAAAAATATAAAATATTTTTGATTCTTAATTTAGTTTTAGAAAATTCAAATCTGTACTTCATGAAATGTTTGAAATAATAGTGTCTTACTCTTGAAAATTTTCTAAAATATGATTCATTCTATGGTCTATACCGGTAGAAATTAACACTTTCATTGGAACAAAGCGATTAAGTAATTTTTCAAATGCATGAATTACTTATCGAATGTTAACAATATTTCCATTAGGGTTTTATTCATCTAGAAAAAAAAGTCTTTCAAATTATAAATTAATAACATGTGATGTATGATCAACTACGTCATAAGAAAAAGTGAACAGATTAGCAATACTAATTATTTCTTATAAGTGAACAAGGTAAACTCTATTTGTTTATACGTAATAGTTATTTTCTTACATAAATGTTAATTTAGTATTAGATATATGATACTAATGATGTGACGAAACCATTATATTGAATATTTTCTCCAATATGATTGGAGATAGAAGTCCGTGTAACAAGTGGGAGAGAAACGTGGAGAATTCCAATTGGGTGACAATTTTATTGGGAGTGTATAATTTAGGCACGTCAATTTCAACTCATCTCAAAATATTCATTATTTGAATAAAAGTTTAAATCTTTATACAATTTAAATTTGAGCAATACTCTGTAGAGTCCAAAGTTTTGACACTCAAGTAAAATAAACTCAAATTAATGAATTAGGATTCAACCCGAATTTTAGCCCAAGTTGTGCAACCTGAAACTTAAACTCGAGTTATAGATGATTTTAATTTAACTTGAACCTGAATTTTAGTTAGGTATATATAGTCCAAGAACCAAATTCAAATTGAATCAATTTAAACCCGAATTTTATTGAGTTTTCTGACCCAAGTATACAATTTTAGATATGGCTACGTTTTGGTTAAATTAATTGATTCGAACATGTAATTCAGTAGCAAATATTAAATGTAGCGGTGACACCACATCACAAAATTCTTTAATCAAATTTGATGTCCATCAAAACTCAAATGTTGCATTGCAAGTATAATAAAAATACATCATAGTACACAAACAAGATAGTTACCATTTTAAGAAATTACTTTCAATTTTGATTACAAACTGACCTGTATGTTCTGCGCTGTCTTTATTCATTACAGGCACTGAGACAAAACATAGAAGTGGAACAAGCAGAAGATTTATAGCCATGCTGGTTCCTTCAAAGGAGTAACAACAGCTTTCACCTGCAAGTAGTTATGGAGGCTGTAGATACCCTTTTCCCTGCCAATACCACTCATTTTGTACCCACCAAATGGAATTGCAGCATCGAATACATCGAAGCAATTAACCCACACAGTCCCGGCTTTTAGTGCTCGTGTCAAGGTATTGGCAGTATCCAAGTTGCTGGTGAAAACCCCTGCTGCTAGACCGTAGCGTGTTGTGTTTGCCCTTTTTATCACTTCATCAATGTCCCTGATATGGAGAAACAAGTATGTGGATATTTACGAACACTTGAAAAACATTCCTATATTTTCCTCTCAGTGTGTGTTTGCAAATTAAACAGGCATTGCAGAAAATCTATTGGCCCCTCTCATGCCCATGTTGTAGTCTAATGACAACAAAATCGAAACTGAAGCACTTATAGTTATGCAAAATTCCAGAGGTCAATCAAACACACGAAAATGATATAATTCCCAGAAATTTTTAACAATTGGATATGCTTGAATATTGATTGCTCACTTGAATTTCAAGATGGACTGCACTGGGCCAAAGATTTCATCCTTTGCTATCAACATATCATCCTATTGGAGAACATGCTACAATCATGTTACTTGCTCCATTTGCAATGTCTTTATGATTCATCGAAGGGTAATATTTGCTGAAGGGGACCGAGAAATGGAAGAGAAAATACCTGAACATTTGAGAAAAATGAGGGTTGGATAAAGAAGCCTTTGGAGCCTAGTTGTCCACCTCCACATTCAAGAGTAGCATTGCTTTCAATCCCAGATCTTACGTAACTGAGAACCTTCTCAAATTGCTCTGAATCTATCTGGAATTTCCATAAGATTCACAAGTAACATTAGTCGAGCTCTCAAGATTGGCCAGAGTTTGAGTTATATTGGAATCAATGAAAAGCAAAAGTTCACTGCTAGTTCAGGAAATGGATTATCCCGAAAACTCAGATTTTATTGGACATGCAGCTCAACAGCTTAATTTGACTTATAATACGTGTGAAGCCACTCTATAGGAAGGTTGCATCTTGTGAACAACGGGTGCGCAATAATGACGAGTATGCTTCTTTATATGGTGGTTTTCAATTTAAGCAAAGAGACAGAGTCACGGCTCAGTATCCTACAGAATTGTAATGGAGTTGACGGACATAAAGGAACAATATATGTATTGTACAACTATATCATTGTTCTAGAGGTCCCATTTAATGTGCTGAGAACAGCAACAATGAATCAATCACAGAACTGTTCCAATGGACATACTTCATGCCAATCTAGTTCTTTTTGTGCCTCGGATATATTTTTAAGTATTGAGGGGCGGGGAAGGTGGGGAAAAGAGAGAGATCTCACTTGAGGGCCTTGCTCCACACCCTTTTTGAAGGGATCACCCACTATACGTTTCATAGCACGTGCCTTTGCTTTCTCAATAAACCCATTGTACACACGTTCTTGTACGTATGTACGAGAACCAGCACAGCAACATTGCCCCTGCAGATAGTGAAGCATTTGTCATTGAAGTGTTCAACATAGAAAAGAAGATTTGCGTGAGAAATTGAGTGAACAAACCTGATTAAAGAAAAGAGCAAAATGTGCAAGTTCCACAGCCGTACCAATGTCAGCATCCTCGCATACAATGAAAGGTGACTTCCCTCCAAGCTCTAATGTCACAGGCTTGAGATTGCTTCTTGCCACCAATTCGAGTACAATCTTGCCTGTATCAGTTGATCCTGTGAAAGCAAGCTGCAAAAAGAATGGCAATGGCTTTAATGTCGAAAATCATAATAAACAGCCAAGTTTGGCCCAATAGTTAGATTTGTGAAGGACCACATCTTCTGAGTGCCAGTTTGTTTGAGACTTTCCGAAAAACAATTTGGGATCATTGAGGGTCTCGTTTCTTACTCTCATTAAGACAAACAGATTATTGAATCTGATCCAAATTTGTCTGTTTACACCACCAGCCAGTCAAAAACACCATAAAATGGCACTTCAAACTAAAAATATGAAAAGGTGAAACACTTTGATTAAAAAAGGCAGCCTAGTACACGAGAAGGCAAAAAACTTGGATTATATTCTAAATTTCCTACTGATTGTATTGTGATTATTTTCCTCTACCATAGTAGAAGAAATGTCTCCTGAGCCATGCAAGTCATGATTAAAGAGATGCACCGATAACACAGTCAAGTTCATCACATCACAAAATTTATAGAAAGCTTGGAAAATTTATGCTAAGGACCTTGTCCACATCCATATGACTAGCAAGAGCCGCACCAGCAGTTGGACCATAGCCAGAAACTATATTTAGAACACCAGGAGGAAGACCGGCCTATCAAAAAGAATGCAGGTTAGATGGGAAAATGATAGCTTAGAGAAAGAAAAAGACATATCATCTAAATATCTTTCACATCAAAAAAGACAGAAGAAGTTATCAAGAAAGCATAAAATTTTGCGAAAACAGTCGTATACTTGTGGCATTTTTCAAGTACAGCCATGCAATTACTCACATATTAGCCTTTCTCTGTTTTATTGCTTTCTTTCAAAAAATACATTTACTTCAAATTTAAGTAGAACCCTATTTGGTATAAAAATAGGTGCTGGAGCCCAAAGATTCTCAAATTCACCTTGAACAAAATACAAGCCAAAACAATAATACCAACAAAATAATGAGATGACATATAACACCAAACAATGAACACAACTGCTCGAAATTACCTCATGGAAGAGCTTTGCTGCATACAGAGCAGTCAAGGGCGTTTGCTCTGCACTCTTTAGGACAACAGTATTGCCACATGCAAGTGCAGGGCCAACTTTCCAAGCAAACATAGCGAGAGGAAAGTTCCATGGAATGATCTGTCCTGCTACACCAATTGGTTCATGCAAAGTCTGCACATGGTATGGTCCATCAGCAGGAACTGTCAATCCATGTAATTTATCTGCCCAACCTGCATTACATGAAAGAACATTCTTTAAAAAATTCATCCAAATAGTGTACAACTATACTGCTACTGATGATTTTAAGAATCAAATTTCAGGAACATATGAGACTCGATTATTTTTAGTGCTCTTACCAGCATAATAGTGAAATATACGCACAATTATAGGCAATTTGATTTTGGCAGCTTGTTCATAAGGCTTTCCATTATCCCATGTCTCAAGAGCTGCAATCTCATCAATGTGTTTCTCAAGCAAATCAGCAAATCGCAAAATTATCCGTGACCTTTCCTGAAACCCAATAGAGAAACAAGGCAGCACTGATATATAATGATTTTGAACAAGGAAACCATTCACAAATTAATGCAGCAGCAAGTCATAAGCATACAAGCAGAAAATAAAGGGAAAACATTCTTACATAAGCGGTCATTTTCAGCCACGGTCCCTCATCAAACGCCTTCCGGGCAGCAGACACCGCACAATTGATATCCTCTGCATCACCTTCAGCAACATGGGCAATCACCTCCCCAGTCCGAGGGTCCAACGTTGGAAATGTTTTTTCTGAAACCAACTGGCGGGCCTCCTGTATGGATCCTCAACCCCAGGGTGACACGTGTCCTAATAAAGTCATTAGGATGTCTGGAAGATGCCGAGGGGGTGAGCCGAGGCATGGCGACAGAGCAGCTGAGTACAACAGCTGACATTATAATCAAAGCGACGTGACCTCGTATTTATGGCGAAATGAGTGATAGTGACAGGACAAATAAATCCGAGCCTGCCGCCAATTGCTATCTGCAAGTCTATGCCTACTGTCATGATGGCTGGAGTATTAATGACTGATGCGCCGAAACAACGCGATTTGTTCTCCTGAGTTCCCTGATCCGCTGAGCTGTCCGTGCTCTGTCGGTGTCAGACGCCAACCTCTTGGATTGGGCTGCTCGACTCGTAGTATAAATGCTCGGCTTGTGGCCGAGCACTTACACCATTCCCCTGACATTCAATTGGAGGAGGCGTAAAAGGGAAGCATTCACAGCACGAGGGATGGTGTCAGATGTGAGATGTCCAGATGAGACTGAAGATCTAGAGCAATCATTGCTAATTCAGGTATAAATATCCCTAAGAAAAATGGATAAAAGTACGCAAAATCAAACCAGAGCACATCTACTAAGAAAAAACTCTTCGATCTTTACTGACTTAAGCTTCGGAGGGGATCCGCCGGGCTCACGCCTGGCCCCCTTTCTTCTAACCCCGTCTTTTCAGGCTTGCCAATCAAGGGATCGCATTGCAGGAATTATCCCGCGCACCAACATAAATTCCAACATCAATTCAAATTTAGATATGCACTAATTTACCTTATGCAGTAACAGCGTAATCAATTGGACAATGCAATGCAATGTCCGAACAAAGCACTACCAGATGCTGAATCCACAAATTTGCCATCGATCAGAAGCTGGGTATAATTGACCTGAACAGGTGGGGTGACTGGTTCCTCTGTGACTGCAGCAGTGCTAAACCTGCAGGTGCCTCTCCTCAAGCTAGAATTTATGCCTGAAGAATTTATGTTTCACAAAATCAGATTCCATGATCTATATCACACACCATGTACAACCCTCCCCCACTTCACACACACACACACACAGATCAATTCATATTATTAATTGAAGTCTTCAGAAATGACATCCTCCTAAATTTTCTTCTCTACTGCAGGATTATTAATTACATTATTTTGGATTTGAGTTGCATAACAAACAAAACACTCAGATTAGTTAAACGATTAGAAACGTTAAATTAAAACAGAAATTGACAAATAATGAGGCAAACTTTGTTTCCCAACACTCCCCACCCCTCCAGGATAAAAAAACAAACACAAACCAGACAAATTAAAGCCAGTAAAGTCCTATATGCATACAGCATTCATGTATAAAGAAGGCACAACAGGTCAACCAGACAACACCAACAAACCAAAAAGGATATGCAACACAAGTATATACATATATAACAGAATAACACACATCAATCTACGTATAGAGAGAGAACCAGAAGAGAGTGGTCACCAAGGGAAGCATAAACAGGAGGAAGAGAGAGAGAACGAGAGAGCAAGGAGGAGAGTCTGCGAGCTGCCATGGCCAAAGCTGTACTTCTAATCTACACCAAGTCATAAAACTTATTAAGAGTGACCGAGTGTGCGAATTCAACCAAGACTTTTTATGCACAACCAAACGTCTCCCTCTCTCTCTCTTCAGATATATAAATCTTCTTAAATTTATATCCACGTAACACTTAAATCACTGCGATTAATGTCCGTTATTAAATATGTTAGTAAATTACATCCACACCCTTTAAAATTTAAATATGTTAGTAAATTACATCCACACCCTTTAAAATTTGTAAGTATATAATATTTAGAATCTTCAAGTTTAAAATGTTATATTAAAATTAAAAATATTTTAATCAAAGATAAGATATTAAATATTTTAATTTTAAAATCAAAATTCATGTTCTATTGTATAATTTATTAAAATAAAATAAAAAAATCAATTTTTTTATAAAAAATCATAATTAGTACACAATTATATTATTTATTGTTATAAAATTAAAAAAATCAAACAAGAGGTCTAAGTCATTCATAATAGAATATGAATTTTACAACCAAAATTCATATTCTATTACATTATTTATGAAAATAAAATCAAAAATAAAAATTTAATTTTTCTTAAAAAAATAGGATACAATTATACTATTTATTGAAATAAAAAAAACAATGGGTCAAACTATAATGACACAATATACTATAACTTTAATTTGGGTAATTTTGTAATTTAATTTCATAGTTTAAACAACCAAGTTAAATTATAATAGATACTATAATTGTACACTAGTTGTGATTTTTTAAGAAAAAAACAATAATTTTGTTTTTAATTTTATTTCAATAAATATCAAAATAGAACATGAATTTTGGTTGTAAAATTTAAAATATTTAATATTTTATTTTTGATTGAAGTATTTTTAGTCTAAGTATAACATTTTAAACTTAAGAGATTTAAGTATTACACGATTATAAATTTTAAGAGATCTGAATGTAATTTATTAAGGGATACACTAATGGACATTGATGGCATGAGTCTATCACACGCGTACAAACTTTAAGGGATTTATATGTAATATTTCAAACGTAAGAAGATCTGAATGATTATATAACAAATCTCATGTGTAATTCTCTCTTTTCTTTCTCCGAGAACCATGTTCTTACTTTTTACATCGGTTAATTACAAAAATACCCACTCTAAGTATTTGGTCATGCTATAATCAATTTCTCGAACTTTTAATTTAAACAATTTGCTTTTTGTGGCAATTGGAGAGTGTATTGCTTGAATTGTCTGATATTAACTTTTGTGTAAAAAGATATTTTTGAGTGAAGCTTTTTTTAAAAAAAATTAATTTGTATCGTTAAATAAAATTAAATAAAAAATAAAGTACGTTCAATCCTTGTTGTAATTTTAAATATATATAATTTAAATTTCTGGGATTTAGGTGTAATGTTAGATAAATTAAGAATAGGGGAATATCTCTCGGCTTTTCTGATGACATCATCTTCCCACGCGCCAATAATTTGGCCTCTCTCTCTCTCTCCCTCCCCATTGATATGCATAACTATCAACCAACACGATAAATTATTTTGAATATTTTTTAAGAATGTCAATCATTAATTTCATCAATTACATAGGAAAATTATGGTATTAAAAGAGGTATTATATCAAAATTATTTTCTATTTTTTTTAAAAAAGATAAATTATAATTTCTTGCAGTGAAAGTTATAACTAAAAAAACATGATCGCTCTCAAAATAATATCATCAATCATGAAAATTACACAACTTTAAAGATAAAGTTACAACTCACACACAAGAAAAGAAGAAGTTATAATTGATCCAAGTAATTCATAATCGGTCACAATATTTCATAATCTCGATCACTTTGGAATGGGTACTTTTTTCTTTTGGATAACTTAATGTTATCCTTAATTACGTGCTTACAACTGAGTGCTAATGTTCGTGATGTTGGGAGACTCGTTACTTCAACTAAATAATGAATTCTGATCAAAAAGAAAAAAAAAATACATATTGAATACTTTTTCAGTTCTTTAAAATATGCATTAAATATTTTTTTTCATCCCTTGATTAGCAATTTTGTCAATACATTGGCAAGTTTTTCAATGTAGTTTAAATATTTTCAATTATGACGGCGTGACATTTGATTAAATATATCCATGGTCTAAAGTATTCATTAAATGTCACAAATGATTTCCTAATTATCAATTCGTAAAATTGACAAATTTGATTGTGGATGAGTCAAAAAGATACATTCAATGTAAAAAGCTTATTTCATTGACTCGGCCCGATTATTTACTCTTAAATTAAAAATTTTTGAGCCGTAATTCACAAAAATTAATAACTGAAGGGTTAATGTGACATTTTACAAACAATTCAGGGACAAAAAAACATATTTAATTATTTTATGATTTTCCTTTTTTCCGCATAGTTACATGCAATTTCTTGTTCCATGCAGAAATAAAAGAAGGGCGAATTGCAATTTGCATCTAAAAGGTTTTAAGATTTTCACTTTATATCTTCAAAAATTAAATTTTCATATTGTACCTTTAATGTATCAAAAATATTACAATGTGACCATTCTATTAACTTTTTATTAGGTTTTTCATCAGTGTCAATAAGTTAATCTTTAAAGAAAAAATAACATAAGTTTGATAGAAAGGCTATATTGTAATATTTTTAATATATTGAAGGTGCAATATAAAAAATTTAATATTTGAAGTATAAAGTAAAAATCTTGAAATCTTTAGGATAAAAAGCAAAAAGCACATACAAAAATCGTGTTAGGG